AAAAGAGTCACCACTGCGCCCTGCAAACCCTAAACCCTAAACCCTAAACCCTAAACCCTAGCAAACCCTAGCAAACCCTAATCCAACCCTCATCTCCTACTGCAGTCATTTGCGCCATCGCCGATGGCGAGGGTAACCTCGCCAGTGAGTTTCTTTAAAAGAGTCACCACTGCGCCCTGCAAACCCTAAACCCTAAACCCTAAACCCTAAACCCTAAGCAGGTTCTACTGAAATCTCTTCAACTTGTTCAATCATTGCGGATTTTACTAAAGCCTAATCCAGTTACCCAAACCCTGCGAAGGGCTATTAGCAGCAAAGTCCCCCCCAGGTGACGGGATACCATTAAACCTAAACCCTAAACCCTAAACCCTAAACCCTAAACCCTAAGCTCCAAACCCTAGGACCTGAGCCTTGTGGGAAGCCGGTGGAGTCCACATCTCTTGGTTCTCGAGTTTCTCAGCGCCTCATCTTCGCCTCTAGGGTTTAGCGTTTCGGCCGTGGCTAAGGGTTTAGGGTTTAGGGTTTAGGGTTTAGGGTTTACCTTTTGGTAGGGGGTGACTCTGCTGCAGATGACAGTTTTGCAGGCTGTGCAAACAGCAGCAAACTGAATGGCAACATCATCTTCTAAAAGATGCACAACTGCTTCTCCATCAATGACAAGAGCTCTTTCTTCTTCTTTTTCTGCTGCTGCTGCTGCTTCTGCTTCTGCTGCTGCTGCTGCTGCTGCTGCTGCTGCGGTTCCGGGCGCTGCTGCTGCTAGTCCCGTTGCTGCTGATGCTGCTGTTACGGGCGGCCTGCAGCGGCGCTTCTCTGCTGCTATGGAGCGCAGGTCCTGCTGCAGCTGCTGCAGCAGCAGCTCCTTGCTGCTGCTGCTGCTGCTGCTGCTGCTGCTGCTGCGGAAATCCTCCATCACATAAGACAGCCGCCGCATTCCTTGTGGCAGCAGCGAAGTTGCTACAGCAATGTTTAAAGCTGTTTCCACTTTGTCTCCAGTTAACATCCAAACCTGAATTTAAATAAATCATTTAATTTAATTTATTTATTTTCATTTATTTTCTACTCTTTTATTCGTCAGAGAGAGAGGCTCCCGAGAGGGTTTAGGGTTTAGGGTTTGCCCAGAGAAGAAGCAAAATGCAGTTCTTGCACCTAAACCCTAAACCCTAAACCCTAAACCCTAAACCCTAAACCGTAAACCCTAAACCCTGGCCGTTGGTGTTGTAGCCTGCGTAGCAAATAATGCCTTAGCTCTAAACCCTAAACCCTAGCTAGAGATCCGCAAGGGACTGCGGGGAAAGTGCGGCGTCTCGAAACCCCAAGCCCTAAACCCTAAACCCTAAACCCTAAATTAGGGTTTACTTTGATTCCTGCGTGCCGCAGCTTCTCAATGGTCTCCCCCACGCCCTCCTGCAGTTTATCTTCAAGGCCAGTAATGCCCTGCAGCTCCAGGTCATTTTCTAGCATTTCCGCGGCCCTGTAAAATGAAAAAATAAAAATAAATATTAAATAATTAAATATCCAATTATCCATTTTTTCTGATAAATACACCAATATCTGAAGCACATTATGGAGAATATTTTGATCTAAATACTTTTTAAATTGATTAACTATTTATTTTCAAAATTAAAAGGAAAAAAAACGGAAATGGCACTCGCTCGTTTTTACTCTTACGTTCATTTCGTGATACTTTACTTGTACCTTGTTTATTCATTTTTATTTTATTTATTTTCATTTATTACTAATTACTTTTATTTATTATTACTTACTTTTATTTATTATTATTTATTATTTAATTTAAGTAACACTTATCATTTATTTATTATTTATTACTCAGTTGAAGTCTATCAATTTATTAATTTATTAGTTTTTATATCCAACTCTCGTTTAGAGTTTATTCGTATATTATTATTCTTTGAATTGCTTCTCATCTTTTTATTATTTTGTGTCCATATATATTTCCCTTACTATTTAGCCACAAACCCTAAACCCTAAACCCTAAACCCTAAACCCCGAACTCCACCGCCCCCACCCCAACCTCAAACCCTAAACCCTAAACCCTAAACCCTAGACTGAACCGGCTTTTGAGCCCCCATAACAAAGGGGTTTCGTAAACCCTAAATCAGCGAATAAGCGTCGGAGAGGAACTCACTTTTCGATCTTTTCCTGGCGGTCTACAGTGGCGGTTTGGGCTTCTTCGTAAACCCTTAACCAGCGTATAAACTTTTTCTCTTTTATTTCTTTATAAGCGATGCACAAAGTCCTCAAACCCTCGCGCGCGTAAGACTCCATTGCAGACACCATCCGCTCCTCCACAGGGCCCACCTGACAAACCCCAAACCCCAAACCCTAAACCCTAAACCCTAAACCCTAAACCCTAAACCCTAAACCCTAATTCCCTCACAAGGCCAATCTCGCAAACCGTAAAGTCTAAACCCTAAACCCTAATTCCCATTGCAAACACCATCCGCTCCTCCACAGGGCCCACCTGACAAACCCCAAACCCCAAACCCTAAACCG